AGGGACACAACGACAGACAACAAGGCCGAATGTTTTCACAGTCTTCACGATCCTGTGTTCAAGAGTTTGAGCAGTGCCATAAAAGAAGCAATTGTTGGGAAATTGCTCTTGGTTTATCTGGAAATCATTCGACAAGTTGCTAAAATAGATCACGCGCAAGGTCAAATACAATGCTCGAATACTTGCAGGCTCTTTCTCTGCCAGAACCCTTTTCCTTCTTCTTACTTTCTTAGTTGGCAACGGTTCCTCTGTTAGTTTTTTCAATGCACTTTAGTCAAGGACTGTTCTTGAAATATGTCGCTTTCTTCTGGTTGTACACAGATTCACCGGCCACGCTTGTAGGATTAACAGGCGATTGTTATTGTTGTTGTTATATTTTAATGCAGCTGTTTTCAGCATGAAATCTAAAAGATCTTACAGTCCATAGCGGATGCTCCCGTTCTCGAGAATGTTTACCTTTTGTTGGATAAATAACAGACCATGCAAACATCTTGGAACAGCACCATCTCTTGTGAAAATTATTCCATTCAAATACTTTCGTGAGTCCTCTCATCTAAAGCAAGTGAAGCGCGCACACTTTCGCTGTAAAGTGCTTCCCATCGCCGCGCCGAATCGCATGAATCCACAACTTTCTTTGTGAAAAGATCTCGGGAAAGTAAAGGCTATTCCAGCAAGAGTAAAATCTTCTTTTTGGTGGCCCTCAGGCATGCAACAACTCGAAGCAAACCATATCGATCGACTTAATCTCTAGGACGCGCAGTCAAAACAAAACTCTTGAGGCCTCACTAGCCTCGCTTTCGCGCAACTAGACCCGGGCCAGCCGAGAGGTCCGCCATATTTGCATTCGGTGTATGGGAAATCTATTACTACACGTCCTAGCTTTCAAAGATAAAGGACGTCTACTAAAAAATATCTATAAAGCGGCACACGACAGACTATCGAAGAATTCTACAAAGCATACTTTCCTGCCAGGAACCAGAAAGGAACAGAAGCAACAAACGGCATGATGCGTCTACTGTCATTAGGACATTCATCGTTTCAAATATGATCAAAACATCTATGTGTGATAAATCATTGACTCCGTAGGCAAATAGATAAAAAGTGTCCTCTAATCTTTTCTTCAATATGAATCCTCTTGATGCTTATTTCATCAATCAGTCCCACAATCCTGGCAAATTAACTTTCGTAAACGCGTCGTTCTGAGAAAAAAGGGGTGGCTATACACAAGCTACGTCGTCCTTTCAATTGACTGTACATATCCACCGCGCACGATCTTGCGAGAAGTCTCGCGAGTTAGTTCCTTGATTTTAAGAGCTAAACCGTGATTGGCTAAAAAGGTTTTACGTCACGGAAATCGTTTTACCGCTGGGGTTCGCAGACGCTATTTTTCGGAGGGAGAGAAGCGACGACCGGAAATGCGTCTGCTGTTCGCAGGCTACCCCCTCCTCTGCCAGCTATAATAACTGACCAGACAAGTTCGCCGACATCTGTGATGTCCATGATACGGACTCCGAAAATGGAACCCCTTAGGAGTTTCAGCCTCCTGCACTCAACGTTCGCGCCGTTGGCGCGAACGGTGCACGTCCACCAGCTGAACCACTGCATCGGGTACTTTCAAATACTACCGAAAACCGTGATATGTTTAGTTACCAAGCCCGTAGTCACTTGTGATGGATGCACCTTGCGCTGACCTAGACTGCTTAAAAAGTGCTTTACTATCAGCATTTATTGGGGTTTGAAAAGATAGCTTTTGAGACCGTAAACCACCGTGTGGTCACGGGGAATACTCTTTTTTTGTTAACGAATAGTCGTGCAAGAAACGGTCCGGCTTGAGGGAGCGTCAGAATACGGCTCGTCTTGTGGACAAGTCTATTTTAATGCATTTTTTACTAGCGCAAGTGAAAAAGTTATGTTGATACCCCTGATGGGTAATAGTGTTTTCTTCCTGTGATGTTGTTTGTTGTGAGGGTGTAGTGGGGAATTTAGGACATGAAAAGTTCCCGTTTTTTAGCTCGAGCTGATGTACAGTAAATGAAACGTTGCAAAGTTATACTTAACTGATACGTTTTCCAATGCTTAGCGACTGATGTTCTTTTTCTTCTTTCCTACCAGAATGTCAGAACTACGGGAGTCTCAACAGCGGAACCCGAAGGACTTCGTATAGCAGCTACTACTATTATTGTGATGACGGTCTCGGCCCTGGATGGTTCCGTTTTCAGGGGTCTGCCGGCACAAGAATGGCAACATCATGTCCGTCTTACATGAGGTGTGGTACCTATTATCCCGGCTGGCTATATGGTGGACACCCCTCAGTAGCAGACGGTCAGGCCACCAGGACGGTGTATTTTAGAAGTAATTACAACTGCTGTTATTACTCAAGAAGCATCAAAGTGAGAAATTGTGGTTCATATTACGTGTACTATCTTAATGGCGTACCTATTTGTTATGCCCGTTACTGTGGCACGAACTAGACACAAGTGCAAACAAAGCATATATGTATACATATTCTATCATTTCACTAAAGTAGGCTTTATTGTAAAAACAAAGTAACCATCTAAAAAATAGACTCTACTTACACTGTAACTTCAATATCAATATCTGTTTATAATAACTTTAGCGAAGAAAGAAAAAGTGAGAAAGGACAACGTACTACTTTTAAGCCATTTTGCAGATTATAGTGCCTATAACGTAAACGGCATTTTTATTATGTAATGGGGACCTAATTTTTAATGAGACTCACGCGCGTTTTGTCCAAATCTTTATAATTTCCCGAGCCTTTAGGCGAGGGAAATTATTGGTCTTTGGACAAAACGCAAGTGAAATTATTCCCTAATTAATTTCACGAGTATACCATTTGATTACCTATTTATATTATGGGTGACGAATTACCTTAGCAGTCTTGGATTTCTGACACGTTTATCCGGGATCGTATCGATCGAGAACTCCACTCTCCCGAACGTTTATTAGAGCTTAAATTTGGCTTAAGTTCAGAATTTTTCGACAAAATACCTGTTAGAAGCCTTCTTGATGTACTCTTCCGTGTGTTCAGGTTTTCTAAAGCGTCTTTTTATGCCCTGGCATCTTCATTCATGATATTTTAAAACTTCGTCGCCATCTTGACACTGAGACGTACAGAAGGTTGCCATGGCAATTATGTAATTTCACATGTGAAATTACAAATTATTGCTGAAATTTCGCGCCAAAATTAAGGAGTAATTTGTCACCTATGATATTAGCTAAACAAACCACGATGGACAACATGATTGTTAAGATGTGGGGAGTGCGGGGTATGAAACTGCTTACTTTTTTGTTTTGATCGGTCCAGGTAAGCAGTCTGTGAAATCGGGAGCGAAATGGCTGTAAGGATACAGTCTACTCTCGCCTTACGGACACGCTGCTGTTACGGGCACTCCGGGTATACGAACAGCAGCTAAATCCCTCCCCATTGCGGACTTTTGTTTACTATCAAGTACACTAACTCGCGGTCCCGAGGGTGACCTCAATAACAAGAGTTGACCTCACAATGTTGAGCCCTGATTTTGGACTTTATTAGGATAGGAGTTTCATTAACAAATAAAGGCACAATTTAATGACATTAATATAATAACTTGTTACATGCTCTTGTACGTTGGCATAATGTTACTTACTGCCAGGATCCCTCAGGTTTTTCCTTTCTTGTGCAAATTAGGGCTTTGTTTTTCAGTACACCTCACTGGGATTACCAAAATTTTATAAAGATAAATGGAAATTAATTCTGGTCTAAGCAGTGAAAAGACACCACCTCGCGTCATCATTGCACACTGGATATAAATCGAGGACTTATAAAGATCATTTTAAGATTATTAAAGAAGATACATCTTAGATGTAATTACCTCTAGACAACTGGAAAAGACCGTGTTAAGCTTCCGTCTAGTAGTTAATGACGAAGTAGTGAATAAATAAAATGCTGTTTGCCAGTTAATTTTTTTGCCTTCTCATGTTTGGCATGCATTATAACTGGAAACCCTTCCCAAACACGTCAGGTTGAGAAAGGAAGGCGTAAAAGCAGAAGAAAGTTAGAGGTGGTAAGAGCGGGAAATAAGGCGCAGAACTGAGCCATCGTTGAGGGGCGGGTCGGAAGTTAGGCGACATATATCTGGCGTCCGTTGCAAATGAAAGAACGAAGACGATAATTAATAAAAAAGATGATACAACATTTTGCCTATTCCCTTTTTTCTTGTGATAAAGTATACCCAACAGACTCCTGCTAACGGCTGCACAGGAATTTTAAGGCAGACAAGAATGCTATTAGAACTCCGAACAGTTACGATGACTGATAAGTTTCAGGATGTTTCAAAACGCACGAAGTTTGAATAATTATCATAAACTACATTTGGATGCGCACATTAATCAGTAAATAGATTTCATTGTCAAAAAACAAGGTGCATGTGTTACTAAAATTTTTGACTTTTTTCAGATTTTGTTCAGAGTTCCTTTCCTTTGTTAACTTTTTAACTGTTCATTTATTTCTTAGACACATATTTGGCATATTTTGGCGGCAGTCTGTTGTTTTGCGATATGAGGAAAAGCTGTATTGTGTAAATTTATAGATTTAATTTAAAGACTTAAAAGTCTGTGGATGGGTTTTGTTTTCTTTAGAGACGGTTAAGTCAGTTATTTTGATTGTAGTGACTTGCAATTGTTTGCAATTTTCATGGCCGAGAAATTGGTTGGTCCACGGTGTGTGCAAATAGTAAGGAAAAGGAAGCAACCCCCCCTTTTGAAATTGGCGTGTACTGATTGGCGTCGTCTCAAGCCGGCTATGGACACGTTCTTTAATGACAGAAGAACGCATTAGCGGCCTCGCAATGATGATTATTCATCATGGAGCATGCGTGGGGTCGGTGTGCGGTGGCACGTTTTGTGAGGAGCGTAGTTTCTGTCCCTTTACGCCAATTTTAGAGAATTTTATACCGCCTTGACATAATAATTCAACGTTTAAACACTTGCTGAAGTATTAAATGCAGAAATTAGGAGGAAAACACAAACGAGGAGCTCGAGGATCAGTGGAAGAAGAAGAACCATCGACACTTAAAAGAGCCAACATGGCGGAATGTCAAGAGGAAGAGGCCGCGGAGTTAGTGGAAGCGACAAATGAAGCAATAAACGCCGAAGGTGAGCCCAGTAATGCAGAACTAAGGGAGATGTTGGTAGACATTCAAATCAATACTGCAACTATCCTACGCGAAAACAAAACAATCAGAAGCGAAATGACCGATCTCAAGCGCACAATTCAACATCAAACAGACGATATAACTGCGTTGAAATCATCTCTAGAACATATAACGAAGCAGTACAACGAGGTAGAACGCGGGCTGGTGGCAGCAAGAAAGAAAATTCAAGAGCAGGAAGAAGAAATTGGTGAATTGTACGATCTTCAAGACAAACTAGAACAATACACGAGGAAAAACTCAATAGAAATACATGGTGTACCAGAAAGCGCCTACACCGAGACGGAAGACGTGGTGTTAAAATTAGCGGAGGCCCTAGATGTATCGGTGGAACCAAAGGATATCGAAATATGTCACAAGCTGAACAGGAAGGGTAACAAACCAATTATTGTAAAATTTATAAGCCACAAGGTCAAAACAAATCTATACAGGGCTAGGGCTAAGCTAAAAATGTCAGAGTTTCTAACATCTTCCCGCAGTGCTCGTCGTCAACTCTAGTGCAAGCCGACAGAATTTTTTAAACGAGAATCTTACCTCGTACAGGAAAAAAAATAATGAATCGGGCAAACGAGATGCGGAGAAATGATGAATTGTTGAGTGTCTGGTCAATGGATGGATCAATATATGTCAAGACCTCTCCGCAGGGTAAGCCGGTCAGAATTAACGAGCTGGAAGACTTAGATTATCTTTAAATGTCCAATCGTCTGGCCAAGGAAGATAAAAACTGTAACTTACATTTGGGACAGGAACAAAAAACGCAAAGTTCGGAGAAGAAGAAGGAAACGCTCAAAAACTACTTTAATTTACGTTTTGTATAATTTTAGTTTTGTTTGCTTCTTTTTTTTTTTTTAATTTGCATATATATTCTTCTTGTTTTTTTTTTTTTTTTTTTTTTTTATTGTAATGCAAGAGAAAGCAAAATACGATATACTTTCTCTAAACGTAAGGGGAATATGAGATCAAGCCAAACGGAGGAGCATTTTTCTATATCTCAAAGATCATAACTCAAAAATTTATTTCTTGCAAGAAACTTACTCTCAACCAGAAGATGAAATTATTTGGAAAAACGAATGGGGAGGTGAAATATTTTTCTCTCACGGATCCAGGCATAGTAAAGGTGTTTGCATTCTTTTACACCCTACGGTACAAAATAAGATCGATTACTCATTCAGTGACAAGGCTGGAAGAATCGTGCTAATTACTTGTGTTCTGAATTCTCTAAAATTATCACTGGTGAATATTTATGCCCCGAATAGCTAAAGTGAACAATTAGATTTCTTACAAAACTTAAACAATTGCCTTATCGACAAGTCAGAAATTTCCACGCTTATTGTAGGTGGCGACTGGAATTGCACACTATCAAAGATAGATAAAATTGGTGGCACAATTTGGAAACCAACAAATTATCGAAACCTGATTTTGACAACTATGGACGCTTTCGATCTCGTAGATATTCAAAGATTACGCCACCCGAGGCTACGTAAATACTCTTATGAATCAAAAGTGTTAAAACTGAAATCCAGAATAGACTTTTTCCTAGTTGCCAAAAATCTGACACAACATGTGAAGAAAAGCGAAATTTATCCTTCTATAGCACCGGATCACCGAGCAATTTACATTTCTTTGTCTTGGACAACTGAAAAGTCTAGAGGACCCGGACTTTGGAAATTCAACAACACGTTACTGAAAGATGAACATTATGTGTCCAAAATCCGTGAAACGTACTCCCGCACACGCGCTTTTTACTCCAATTTGGCAGACGCACGTCTTCTTTGGGAAATGTTAAAAATGGAAACCAGAGCGGCAACCATTGCTTATAGTAAAAAGAAAGCTAAAGCGACCACTAATAGAGAATTGGAAATTAGGAGACAGCTCGAAATTCTGGACCGCAATATTTGCGACAACTTTAACTCTCCCAATATCGCGCACATCCTAAATGAATATGAAGATCTCAAAATGGAACTCCAATCTATTTATGAGGAGAAAGGGAGGGCAGCTATTTTTAGATCGAAATGTCGATGGGTCGAAAAGGGCGAACGTCCAACAAAGTACTTTTTCAATCTGGAGAAAAGAAACTACAACAGGAAAACCATCACTGAACTGCGAACAGAAAGTGAAACAGTAACAAACAACGAGTCTCAGATATTAGAAGCTATCGAAAACTATTATAGCGAATTGTACGCATCAGCAAATAATTCACAGGAAAATAATGTTGATGAATTCACCGAACATTTAAAAATTCCAAAACTATCAGATGCAGACAGAGATAGAATAGAAGGTCCATTATCTTATGAAGAATGCAAAAAAGCTTTAGACACTTTTCAAAACAACAAAGCTCCAGGAGAAGATGGTTTCACGGTTGAATTTTATATGTTTTTTTTCGATCTGCTAGGACACGATCTTGTTGCTAGTTTCAATGCGGCCTATGATGCAAATGAACTCACCATTTCACAACGAAGAGGCGTTATTACTTTAATTCCCAAAGAAGATGGCTCGCTACTAGAACTTTCAAACTGGAGACCGGTAACACTGCTAAATGTTGATTGCAAGATAGCAACTAAGGCAATAGCAAGGAGAATAGAACCATTATTACCAAATCTAGTGCACACTGATCAAACCGGTTTTATCAAAGGAAGATATATCGGGGGAAAATATTAGGCTAATAATCGACATAATGGAACATACGAAGTCAGAAAGCATACCTGGCATTCTAGTATCTCTAGATTTTCGGAAAGCTTTTGATTCTCTAGAATGGTCGTTCATGATGAAAGCACTGGATATATTCAATTTCGGAACAAGTATAAAAAGATGGATCAGTACATTCTATACAAAAATTGAGAGCGCGGCGATAAACAATGGTTTCATGACCAACTGGTTTAGACCGTCAAGAGGAGTGCGACAGGGGTGTCCCCTTTCTCCGTACTTATTTGTGCTTTCCACGGAGATATTATCCAGCAAAATCAGACAAGAACCAAGTATAACAGGAATCAAAATATTCGGGCACGAAATCAAATTGAGCCAATTCGCAGACGACACAAACCTTTTCTGTGCAGATTTGATGTCCGTTGAAAATGCTTTGAAAACGGTGGGAGATTTTGAGAGGCTAGCGGGTCTCAAGTTAAACATAAAGAAATCGAAAGCAATTTGGTTGGGAAAATGGGAAAAAAACAAAAGTTATCCTTTACAACTAAAATGGTTACATAGTCCCGCTCGCCTCTTAGGAATTCATGTCTCTTATGATGAGAAGGGTAACAATGAATTGAACTTTAATCTGAAAATACGAAAACTTCAAACAAAGCTGGATATGTGGAGATCTAGAGACCTCACACTATTTGGGAAGGTACTGATAATTAAGTCCCTAGGATTGTCACAATTAATTTATTCAGCTTCAATTCTTAATGTTCCCGAAGATATCGCAAGCACAGTGAAAACAAAGTTTTTTAGTTTCTTATGGAAAAACAAAAGGGATAAATTTAAACGAACTGGGCTCTATCAGGATCTGGGAAGAGGCGGAATACGTATGGTAGACATCGACATAATGTTTAAAGCTCTAAAACTAGCCTGGATTCCAAGATTACTGACTCCAGGGAACCAGAATTGGAAAACAGTTCCTGATTATTACCTAAGAAAATTCGGAGGTTTGAACTTTTTACTGAGATGTAACTACGATGCGAAATACATAAAATCTATTCCATTGTTTTACCGAAATATTCTAGTATACTTCAGTGAATTAAAAACTCTGTACAGCTTTGATCAAGCACAAAATATAATTCTATTCAACAACAAAGAAATACTTGTTGACAGTAAAACCTTTTTTATCAGGGAATGGTTTAAAAAAGGTATCCTGTCAATACAAGATCTCTTACACAATACCGGCCAACCAATGACCTATCAGGAATTTACGAATAAGTATTCCTGTAAAACTAACTTCCTTCAATACTATCAAGTTATTAGCGCTATCCCAAAGCACCTATTAGCCAAAGCAAAATCAACGAAGCCAATTAATAAAGAGTTATATTCTGATAATAATCTTAGTCTACAATTAAATGAATCGATAACTCTATATCTGAATAAAATCAAGACTAGCGACTTCTATACGTTATTATGCACAAAAATCCACACAACAGGTCATTCTGGGCCACAGAGATGGAGCAAAGATCTCTCCTTGGATGAAGATAAATGGGAAAAAATATTCACCTCCCTAAAAACCGTCTGTAGAGAGACCAAATTAAAGGAATTTCAATATAAATTAATCCACCGAATTGTAGTCACCAAAAAGGAACTTTACCGCTATGGAATCAAGGAAGATGATGAATGTATATATTGTGGTGAAAAAGACTCTATTAATCATACTTTTAGAGATTGTCATTTCGTCAAGATTTTCATTCAACGGGTTATCAACTGGTTCAATATAGAAAACAAGATCAATTTCAACCCATCTAGCGAAGAAAGACTGTTCGGCATCCTCTCGGACTTACATGAAAAGGTACTAGTAAGGAAATTCAATTATACCATGTTGTTTATGAGATACTACATCTACGCCAACAAACTACACAACAAACCAATTCTCCTCCAAGACTTCGTTGGTAAAATGATAATTAAATACAGAATTGAAAAGCTATAAAATAGACATGAAAAGTAACTCCTCTGACCTTTTTTTTTTTTTTTTTTTTTTTTTTTTTTTTTGTGTGTGTTTATGTGGGGGTGTGTGTGCGTGTGATGTACTAGAATTGTAAGTAGTGTAACCATTGTAATTATTAGTAGTACGAGCATCGTATGGATGGTATTGTCAGTATAGCCAATATTGTAAATAGTGCAAGTATAGTGAATATTGTTAGTAGTATTTAGTTTCAGTAGTGTTTAGTACTGTAAACATTTAATATATGTCTGTAAGGCAAAAATAAATAAAAAAAATAATAATAATAAAAAAAAAAAATCATGGAACCAACTACATGCCAACGCCAATGGATATTTATGAAGGAAAATCAAGCTGAAGACATCTTTTAATAGGTTAGCCAAACATCATGCAGTATTGTGAAATGTTTAGTGCACTATTGCTTGAATATACGTTGTGTTTCAAATTAACGGGACCTCGGCAATAAGCACTTTTAAGCACTGAAAACACCTGTCTTTTCAGATCACAACTTCTTCTTGGTCGAATTTTGTGTCTTCAGCACTCGCGATAATGCAGTTGTGTGGAAATTCTAGTTTTATTTCTCTAAAGCATTAACAACAATACGAAATGTAAATCCACAGGATGCCATGCTGAATTCATTGCATTTACTATTATTCTGGGAAGCGCATGAAAAAGGATGCGTCGATGGGACTTGTAATTTGCGAACGGCAGAACTATTATTTTGACACGTAGGTCGAAGAAAATACCCTTGATAAAGGCTATCAATGTACAGCTGAATGTAAAATTTAATGGTTGGAAAAGTTGTTTGTTAAAGGAAAGAAAAAGATAAAGAAAATGCATATATGCTTGATAACCTTTTGTGAAAAAAATTATCAGTAATCGGTACGGAGGAATGGGAATGGGAATAATTCTGTGAGGTGTATCAGGTAAAAGAAAAAGCATGGGATTGTGACATTCAAGAGTAAATCGATGCCTGTATCTGGTATGAACAGCGAAAAAAAGAACACGGGTTAGATACAGGAATGTAGCCATGATTTCCAAGGAAAGCCCAACACTAAAAAATACTTCCGGGTGAAAGTTTTGTTTCCTTGAGGGAAAATAAGAGACGGGAGAAGAAATAGCCCAATCAAAAGGAGCCTTAATTAAATGTGTTCATGTGGGTTTAAACGTTTTACATTTTTGGGCCACTATAATGTGATTTGAAAATGAAATCATTAAACATAATTATATCCCTTTTAGGTAAATCAGTGCTTTTCTTCTCCCTTTACCGTCAACGCAACAGAAATAATGACTTTAAGCGAACACAATGAAAATTTTATCTTCAAGAAAGGAAGTGCTGCTTTAGTTAAAGCCACTATGTCGGGAGAAAAACACATCCCGCCTATCCTCTGCGCAATTTTTGCTGCAGCTGTGCTTCTAACTCAAGGAAGTAATGGTACACCTACCTTTTAGAAGATGTTCATGTGTTTACTTATTGCTCTTTACCAGCACATTTCATAAAGTGCTGATAATTTTTGTCATTTTTCTACTCTGAATTGTAAGTTTCGTTGAAAGGAAGAAAGAATGATATCGTGTTTGGTGCATGTGGAAGAAGCTACATCAAAAGGACATTACGCTCCCCGGTTTAACAGTATGCATATTGATTACACCAATTAAATTATGGTTCAGAGATAACGCTGCCGCCAAATATATAAAGGGTCATCAGTGGAATCCAGTTCCGTGTCATTTAGGGTGAAAGCATCGCCTTAGTCTTTACCTTGTTGATATGCAAACGCCGGGTTATCGGCTTATGACAAAACCATTTAATATTGTCTTTTCCTTCTGAAAGATAAGGATAATTAGCAGAATGCATGAGAGAGTACATAAATATCATCAATGATTACAGAAACACTTGTAGATGGGAAAACAGGGTCCATTGAATACCTCTAAGTTGAACTGTATTCTC